GACGCCGCATCGCAACCACAGAGTCCGCAACCCTGTGTGGCTACATTAAGCTGGTCTCCTCTTTGCCACCCCCCAGCAACCAAGGTACCCGTGAGTAATGCGAAACACCATGCTCTGCAAGCGCGCCCCAGTCGGGGTGTCCAAAACATATTCCTCGTCATCACCAGACTGCGGTGCAATAGAGGCGGGGGCTCCCAACCAATCTTGCTGCAAGCACGTTGCTTCCACTCAAACTCTTGCTGTTGAATGGCAGGAATCACTACTTGACTCTTCCACCTTCTAATGTGACCACGAATGTCCTCTTTCGTTAACACCCCCTGTGGCAATGACTCCCACGACGGGATCTGCTGGATTCCAAGTTCCAATGCAAGCACACGCGCTGCTTCCACCCAAGTCTCTCCCGGTATCCCTGCCACCGCTCGGACAAGTGCATAAGGAAACGTGCTTGGCGGCATGGTGAGCAGTCTTGCCAGCGTCGTCACTATCCTGAGCGACACTTTGGCACTCAATCTCCAGCTGCCGCCCATCCAAGTGAGGAGCTGGACATATCCTCCGTCACCCAACGAGAAATTGGTCATTCCAAGTAGCGCCTTGATGGCCTTGTAATGATAGGAATTGAGCTTACGGGAAACCTGAGGCCACCCTAGGAAGTGAGAAACCAAAAGCTCACACCCAAAAAGTGCAGCAGCTTCCACCCGGTTCGGGAATTGCTGAACGTGCCACGCCAGTCCTAAACCCTGAGCATCAAGAGCCCTCCCCAGATTACTGGCTGCCTCGCACATCTGGCTTCCCAACTTCTGCAAGGCACCATCAAAGCTAAGTTTCTCATCGAAAGACATCCCCAATATCTCAATCTGATCCACAATTTTGACAGGCTGGCCATCCAGGAGGGGCGGAGGTAGCGAGTCGGGCCACTTGTCCCGCACGCACAGCACTGCAGCACCTTTGCTACCTGAAGCAAACCTGTGACGCCATAACTGGGCAAAAGCCGACATCGTGTTACACACCCCCAACAAACCCCTACAAGTGGACTGCAAAACGAAGGCATCATCGATGAATTGCAGGATTAGAAGATGCCATTGGGCTGCCACATCAAGGAACAGGAGGGCATCCTCCCTTGGCACGGACGGTGGCAGAAGGTTTCTGATTGCTTGTGTCGGAGCCATCGGATCAAACTCGCTTGCTGCCAACGTGATATCCTCCCACCCGGGTGCTGCATAGGGGCTCAGACTCCCAGCTCTGTCTTGAAGCACTGCACGGCACGCCGCTACACTGTGGCCGATGCCCACCCCCACGTTACTTTGCTTAACAGCGTCCGTTAAGCCTTTGGCAAAGGCACCAAACAGCTGCACTGCACTACGCCCTCCCTGCCTGATCCCATGATTAATCAAAACGAAAAACGGCCCAAGAAGGGGACCCAATCTAACTCGCGCTCTGTCTGCAGCCAGGGAACAGTCTAGCACCAACCAACTATTACCTCTAATGTTTGCTTCCCATGCATGGAACCGCACTGCATCTCTCCACGCGAGGTCATAACCTTGGTGCAGATCTGCCTTCAGCAAGTAGCTGGGCAGTCCTGCATGGTTACGGGTTTGCAGGCTTGTGAGGAGGCCAATGGCAACCAACACCGGGTCCATCTGGCCTCCTACTTGCTCCATGCCTGCATAACTAATCAACCGCTGCCGACACAAGTCTAACCAAACTAAATCGAAAAACCCTTCCAAATCAGAAACGTAAGAAATTGGTCTCAGGTTGCTCGGGTCATCGACCACCTTCGGTCCTCTCTTCCGTATCGGGGAAATGACCCGATACCAGGAAGAAGGCAGCAAGCACAATGCAAACAACAAATTGACAATGATCCACGAAAGCAGCCTTCCTACGAAATTTTTTGATACTGTAGCCAGCCTCGGGAGCTGTGCTGT